GAATTGAAGTTATCTGTATTGCACCATGCTTTAAATCTAGCCATCAGTAATGTCCAATGGCACAATACAATATGGGAGAGCTTATGCTATCCTAAACACTCATTCATTAGCTGGTTAGCTGTCAATAACAGACTGAGTACTCAGGACAGATTGTTAAGAAGGGGGATAATAAATACAAATCATTGCACCTTATGTTCTGATTCTTTTCAGGAAAGCAGAAGCCACCTGTTTTTTGAGTGTGCTTATTCCAGTGATATATGGAATTGTATAATGGATTGGCTTCAATTCTCTTGGAGGTCATGCAATTGGGAGGTTTTGATAAACTGGTTCAGTTCAAGATTGAAAGGAAAAGGTATTAAACAGAGGGTTAAAAGAATGACTCTGTCAGCCACCATTTATGCAATCTAGAATGAGAGGAATCTGAGAGTTTTCCAGCAAAAGAACAGGTCAGTTGAACATCTAGTAAAGGGTATTAAAGTTGATATCATGACGGTGCTTCTAAACTCAAACATCTCCTCTGAAAATGTTGCCTGAATTCACTCATTGTAGAACATGCACAGACGTGCACGGATATTGCACAAGGAATGACAGGTTCAAGTCTTCACTGAGGATTTCTGGAATCTGTTTGCATATACAGGGTTCATGTTTACTGTTTGTAATTACTGTGTCTTGGCTATAACTCTGATTTCTTGAGTTTTAGCTACACATTTTCTGGTATATCTCATATTGAGATCATTGATGTAAATACAACTTTCATATTTGGAGATGAAATAAAAAACATATTTGGAGATGAAATAAAAAATTTCATTTACCAAAAAAAAAATATATTTTGGGATAATCGTGTCCACTAGAGGTGAGTTCATTTCTCACTAGTATTTTATAATATAAAATTGCACGAGTATTATATTTGATTTATCTTGTGATCGAAAAATAAATAATATGTCATTTTCATGTATATAAAGATTTGACCTATTTCTGTTGTGGTCTATCCTATAATGCGATGTTAGCCTCGTACAATATATGAAAAGCAAATTTGATTTCTATATAAAATATGAAAAATGAATTTGACTCTCGTGTAATTTTTAAATAATTGTGGGCATTGTTTTATCTGAAAGTTTTTGATGAAGTATTTGGAATATATTTCAACAGTTTAACGGATTCAAAGATTTTTCGTGACTTAGTATCTGATAAAAGAAAAAAAAATATCCGTAAACTGTTTTAACTGAAATGAGAAACTTTACCTTGTCAACTTCATTTGAAAATATCTATAAATTCTGATATGCAAAGTATTACTCATTTGACATGTGATCTCAATGTTTTCAAACCCTCAAATAGTCCACTATGGATTGTTTCAACCATATGGTGAATGCACCTTTATTTGGCCCTTCTGTATTGACCCTTCTATATTATCCCTTCTGAAATTTGTTCTGGCCCATCTGTATTTGGCCAGTAACCTATGGCAGTGTTAGGTGCATTCGATTCCCGGGAACTATCTGTTATGTGATGCGGTTACGCATTCCCTTGCTACTGGGCTATAATTCGTAGCCTTAGTGTGACCTATGGGGCGACTTTTACATTGATGAATAACTCATCGAGAATTAAGATTTTGATAAATGACTGTGAAGTGGAGAAACAATAATTCTCTGGTTTGTACAAATTACTAGTTCTTTTCCGTCTTAATGTTTACCTTGATTTAAAAAGGGTTTGATTCTAAGAAACATCACAGTATATTCAGTTGCACATAAGAAATAAAATATAATTGTTGCATTTCTTTCTTGAAAACAGACAATATTATGATGTTTGGGTCGTATTTTGCTATCTTTGAATTTCTCATGCAAAAACTTATAATTCGTTATTTCTGAGAATTATGCTTATTACTATTTTGTTAGTTATCTAGGAACTCTAGTAGGAAATGTTCTCACTGAGCGCTATCTCACCCCATTGTTTTTAATTTTTTTTTTCAGATCCGGCGTAGCTTCCTACTAGCCGACTTTTGGTTTGAACTTTTGGCTGAAGGGCGTTATATGGAGAGCCTCTTCATTTTGATGTTACCTTCAGCACATTTTGTTTTGTTTTGTAAAAATGCTTATAACGGTGAGCTTGTGGGCTGTTGATGTTACCTTCAGCACATTTTGTTTTGTTTTGTAAAAATGCTTATAACGGTGAGCTTGTGGGCTGTAAGTACCGATCATATAATTTTGTTTTGTTTTGTAAAAATGCTTATAACGGTGAGCTTGTGGGCTGTAAGTACCGATCATATATATAGTTGCTCTGACTTCTATATCATCAGCAGGTTTATGAATATTTTGAAATAAACTATGTGATATGAAGTGCCAGGCTTGACTCGTGCATAAGACTTGTCTTAGGCACTGGTCGCTGCTGTCGCGCGCCCCGTATTTTATGATATTCCGCTGCAGTTTCGGGGCGTGACACTTTTTCCTCCCTTCTTTTTTTTTCCTTTTATGTTTATTTTTATCTTTGGTTTAGTGGGTTAGTTTCGTGGCCATTTAGGTACCGTAGAGTGTTTAGCATGGGCAAATAAACATACATAAATCTGGTTTTATACACCATTTGCTTATAAATGTACCCAAATAAGATAATTATGATTTTTTTTCGACTTCTTAATCTAGGAAACAAGTAAATCTAATATAAGAACAATTTTTCACTGTAGACCCGATCTGCGTTTTTATTACCAAAACCGACCGAAAATTTTTTTAATTACCAAAATCGACCCGTTTTATGCCACGTAGGCTTAAGCTCATTTCCTAATTAGTCGGGGTTGCCAACCCCGACTGTTTAGGAGTTGTTAAACCGTAATTAGAAGTCTTAAACCTGATTTAATTGGGGTTTAACAATTCCTAAACAGTCGGGGTTGGCAACCCCGACTAATTAGGAAATGGGCTTAAGCCTACGTGGCATAAAACGGGTCGATTTTGGTAATTAAAAAAATTTTCGGTCGGTTTTGGTAATAAAAACGCAGATCGGGTCTACAGTGAAAAATTGTTCCTAATATAATTTTACTTAACATTCTGCGCCTGTGACCGGCCAACAAACTCTGCCTTAGGTCCTGCCTTGTGCTGAAAAAGGTAGAAGTTTCACCTGTGTAAATTTTATTTTTACTGACTAGCGTCTGGCGTTTACACTTGCTTCTACTTTGCCATATATATCACAATTTATGTAAATGCTAGCGTCTATAATCTCACAGCCTTTCCTCCTAAGATGAGGACAAATATTATGGGTCCTCGTAGATACGGAAGGTAAAGGAGGGCGTACGAAGGAATATCATTTGTTCACTAGCTTAGAAAATTAGGTGGGTGCTTTTATTCCCCCTCTTCCGCTACTTAGGATTCTGCATTTTTCCGAAACTTGCCATGAGCAGAGGGGTCAATAAGCCTGTGTGGGTCATCACGCCTACTGTTTTAAGCTGAA